CCGCGCGCTACGCATGGTGATGCACGACGCACGCATGGTGTTGTGCACGCCACGCCATGATTGGGAACACACACGTGCTTGCGGCAGACGCAACGCCATGGTGTTTGTGCGCGCCGCCATTGGTGTTGTGCGCCACGCATGGTGTCTTGCACACCCGCACACATGGTTGTTGTGCGCGCACGGCATGGTGCTGTGCGCGCACGCATGCGTGATGTGCATGGCACGCATGGTCATTGTTGGAGATCAGAGTCACCTGTCAGAGTGAGTCGCTTTCTGCTTTTTTTTATAAAACGAAAACATAATACACACATACGATCTGAACAAAACGCACGAATTGAAAGTTTGGGTGTGTGCGTAGCGGAGTTGGATTGCATAGTCAGTAGTCCGTGGGTTCAAAATCTTGTCAATTGTCCATAGTAAAAGTTATTTTCTAACTGCCCTTAGCTAAATATGAACACATTACAAATGAGCTGAAGTCATGTAAGGAATGGGTATTGTTTGTGTCCGTCGCGATTAGGCATAAACGGGCTTGTATCTCAATAATCATGGGTTCAAACTCCAGGCAATTACAAAATTCAAATATTTTCAGCACTGTTGTTGGAAGAAGTGTAAAACATACATTTGACCTCTGCACTTGGCAATGATCCTCCTCATGATAATGTAAATATTTTGAAGCTGGTTGAAGGCCATGGCCTTGAGCTCAAGGGCTATGGCCTTGGCCTACTAATGTAAAACGTTTTAGAGGTCATGGCCTTGAGCGCTTCAAGGCCATGACCTACGGTGTGAAAAACGTTTTAAAAGGGAAAAAGTAGGTCAATGGCCATTACCTTGAGCTCAAGGGCCATGCATTGGGACGAGTAATGCGCGTTGAGCTCGTCTTGGTCAAGCCGTCAGTATATAATCGTCAACACCGCCAGACAAACAACGAGTCCTTAACAACAACCCAAAACTACCAATGATCTACTGGCCCCAAACTTCTTAAGTGTATGTTTACAATTTCTTTGATAAATTTTTCCCAGAACGCGTATTGCTGATAGCCTGTTGAATTAATTAACACCATATATAAAGCAGGAATCTCGGGCATTTTATTTGCTGAGTACTATTGATTTGAAAGCATTTCAATCCGTGAAATTGCACATGATTGGGATTACCGAATCAGGGTGCTACTTGCTCTAGATGATAGAGCTAGTTGCTTCTAGTTCTATGTTGCAAACTTGTCTCTAGTTCCAGAGCTAGTTTTCTAGTTCCAGAGCTAGCTTGCTCTGTTCCAGGAGCCTAGTGTTTCTAGTTCAGCAGCTAGCTTTTCTTTAGTTCCATAGCTAGTGTTCTTAGTTCTAGTGCTACTTGCTTCTAGTTCCAGAGCTACTATCGTTCTAGTTCTAGTGCTACTTGTTCTAGTTTCTACAGTACCTTGTTCTAGTTCCAGAGCTACTTATTCTAAGTTCCAGAGCTAGTTATTCTAGCTTCTTACTTGCTTAACTTGTTCTTCGTAGTGTCCAGCGCTACTTGCTTCTAGTTTCAGCGCCCTAATTGTTCTATTTCTATAGCTAGCTTAGTTCTAGTTCTAGTGCTAGTCTGTTCTAGTTGAATGCAGCATGAAATGAGAATTTCTTGACAACGCCGCCGCAGTGTACACATAAAACGCGAACGACATGCTCATAATATGGCGATTGAACTTACAATAAAACGATTTGTATTAACAATACAACAAATTTGCTCTAAAAAACAGTCGGAATATCAGATAAAGACACTGTATCCGCAGTTTACGATGGCTTCGCTCTCAGAAGTCCCCCGACGCGAATCGGTGCATGTGCATCATTGCTCCCCTCTGCCTCCTCCGCTCCTGCCTCCTGTTGCTGCGGCAGTTCCTCTACCAGGGCGTAAGAGAGGTACTCGCACTACATCAATGGAAAAGATTTTTCAGTCATGCATTAACTATGAGGAAACATATCGACATCAAATTGATTAAGTTACGTTGAATTATAATAAGTGGAATGATTTTCAAATATAATCAAAACATGTAAACTTTAAGAGCAACGTTTACGAAACGTGAAAATCTATTGGGATTTTTATGATATATTATATATATAATACATATCCTAATGAATTATATCGAATTTCAGGGTGTATGAGACTGCAGAACTAGTAAACGCAACAAATACCTTACTCTTAGCAGTCCTTTAATCAAGAGTGTGGGCTCATATTAAGAATGGCTGCGGTCTCACCCAGGGGGGGCGCTAAGCCTTGATGTTAGAGTCGGTTGTGTTCTCACCAAGGCGGGCAGCAAGCTTGATGTAGAGCAGTCATGGCCGCTCACTTAGGGGCGCTAGCTTGATGTAGAGAGTTCATGTCTCACCAGGGCGCGCTAAGCTTGATTGTTGTAAAGAGTATGCGGCTCTCACCAGGGGGCGCTAAGCTTGATGTAGGAGATCATGCGTCTCACTATGGGGGCGCTTAAGCTTGATGTAGAGAGTCCATGGTCTTACTTGAGGGTGCTAAGCTTGATGTAGCAGATCATGCGCTCTCACTAGGGGCCTAAGCTGATCTGTAGAGAGTCCATGTCTCACTAAGAGCGGCCGCTAAAGCTGATGTAGGAGAGTCATGGTCTCGCCATTGGGGCGCTACGCTTGATTATAGGAGTGGTTGTGGTCTCACAAGGAGCCGGCAAGCTCGATTAGCAGAGTCATGGGTCTCACCAGGGGGGCGCTAAGCTTGATGCTAGAGGAATCATGGTCTCCCAGGGGGCGTCGAGTGCTGCTTGACGATAGGCGGCGCTATGATCCCCGGGGGGACAGGCTTGCTCCTAGACACACACATTCCCACTTGCAAAGATTGTTCATATTAATAACAATGAGGACACACATGACAGCGCAAATTGATAAGTACTTTGATATAATATAATTTTTAACTTAAGAGCTTAAAAGCACATTTATGAAACAGAGTTTGTTAGCCTTTCTGACTTGTCAAAATATGATGACATAATCGAATGAAAAGTTTTAGTTTAGGGATCGCATAGCTGAGATAAGCCCCCACATTTCCTTACAGTGTAAGCATCTACAGAGAATCATAGAGAAGCAGGTATGGAGCAAATTTGCTTTTAGAATTTGTTTTTCAATTTCAGGGTGTGTATGTTTGCACAGTATACATATGAACAAATTAACCTTAATTTGTTTTTTACTCTTTAGCACTTCTGCAGCCCGTCAGTTGATTTCCATATAAATGTCAAAATCAAATCTAATGTATAAATAAACGATGGTCTTGTATGAGTCTATTCATTTAGTGATATCTATATCCAATATATATTAATATATTATATTATTTATACATTTATTTATAATTATATATATATATACTATATTATAAGAAACATCTAACAGGCTTAATTAAGTGATGTTGGATAATATGAGATAGGATGTGACCAGAGGTAGAAGAGATCCTCGGACTACATCTCGCGGATTCTGGCCTTCATATAGAATGGTGTGGTCTCACCAGAGGCCGCCTGAAGGCTTGATATGTTAGAGAGTCATGGTATCACCAGGAAGCGTACGTGCCTGCTGTGACGATAGGCGGTGTGCTTTGACGAGGCGTTTGACTCCTATGGCACAAAATTTCCTTGGCTGGAAAATGGTTATATCAATAACAATGAGGAAAACATATAACAAGCGATCGATTATGGTACGTGATATAATAAAGTAACAAGATTTTTATATTATTCAAAACATGTAATGCTTAAAGAAGCACATTTGATCTTAAACAGTCCTTTAATCGCCCAGAGTGGTGGCTCGTCAGTGATTCTCCATGGAAATGTAATGTATTTAAATTATTTCTCTATGGCCAGCGCCAAGCCATTGATTGCTTTACCTGAATGAGACAATATATATATATTATGTAGTGTGCTGTGTGCGTGCGTTCGTCGTTCGTCACTGCGTGCGTGCAGGTGCGGTGCGTGCACTCAGCGTGGCGCGTCGGCTATATGAAAACTCGTACTAATTTTCACACACAATACGCGCCGCCGAGTGATTGAGTTAAGGCGACTGCCTTACGCTGCAGCATAAATCCTATAAGGTCCTCACACCATTTTCTCTCACAGCCATTTTTCTGCTTCTACCTCTTCCACTTGCTCGGCCCTTCAAATCCTGTCCTTTATCAACGCGGAATAATGTCTTGATGTGTGCGGGTGATTGTCTGTGGGGTCGGTGAGTGGAGGCGAAAGTTTGTCACGGGAGTCGGTAATGTTAAATAGTGCAGGTGGTTATTCTAGAACCTATACTATATACACATATCTACTAATAAATAGTGCGAGGAGCCGAAGTGTCGTTTTACGTATTCTCCTCCCGAAACCGTGTTGCCGCGTGTGCTCGCGCGAATGCGAGCTGGGCCCCTTCTGGACGCTTCCCGAATACATTCTTCCGCTACGTTAGACCCCACTAACCCCTTCTATCACCCTCTCTCCTTTCCTTCAGGGATTGTGCTCTTCCAAGGACTAATCTGAATACAAACTAATGGAATGGAATGGAAAATATAGATACAACATTTACATACTATTAGCTATTATACCTACTAATACTTACAAAATCATCTTGTCCCACACATCCGTTCGTGTGCGCGCAACAGAGAATAAAAACCGTGCAATAATAAAATAACAGACAACATTGTTCAGATATGGCTGCTCGAGCAACTGTATGCCAACGCCCAACGGGCGTTCGGAACTAGCGCGCAGCCGCGGCGACGCGCCCGCAGGCACTTTTTTCAGGCCATACATTTTTCCGTAACCAAAATCTTTTCAATTAAATTTATACCGTTTTTTGGCCGGGGGGGGGGGGGGGGGCGGGGCGGGATACATATATATGTTATACGTGTAATCTAGGCCCCGTATAAGCGGAGACCAGGCGTCAGATGAGGTCAGGTCAACCTGTAGCTATAAAATTTTATGATCCAGAACTCTGGCAGCACATTCCTCTGCTTCCCCGTCTACGGTCCTTGATTCTATGCAGGCAGCATTGCCGTTTGCCGTTATTATTGAGGGAGCATGCCCTTGGTCCGGGTTTCAAGCGCGATTCGGGCCGTATTCTGGCTGGTTATTCTGAATCGGCCCTGGGGGTGGTGGGGTGGGAAGGATACTGTCAAGAGACTCAAGGTTCGCGCCTTATTAGCCAATAAATGATGTGAGTACCAAAGGAAATGTATGAACGACACAATTTTTCATTCTGCCAAAATCATGATGATTTTAATGAAACAACAAACAAGTAAAATATGAGAATAATACAGAAAAATGTGCAAGAAATTGCGTATTTTTTAGGCGTTATTTTCATTTTTTCTTTTTTCAAACCGCAGGGGGGACACCCCCCTCGAGCACCCCGCGCTCCCCGCTCCGCTCCGTGCAGCGCTACGCCGCGCTGCACTACGCTATGCGCTAGCGCATCGCAGTCCACCTAACACGGGCGTAAATCGCCGTCCGGGGATGGGGGGATGCATCTCCCTGCTTTTGAAGGAGGGGGGGGGATGGCCTGTACAAATATCCCCCCTGAGATTCAAAAAAAGACGAGAAAAAAAGAAAGAAGAAAGAAGAAGAGCGTAAGAGGATCCCATTTAAACCACTGACGTTTATCAGCGCTGGGTTTTCAGCCGTGCTACAGTTCAATTGAGGCTGCCACACCAGTCCGGCAGATTCGTAGATTCGGGCAGAATTGGATTGCACGCAACACGATATCTATGTTCATAGACTTGAGTTTGTTTACATCGTGAGATTAAGAAATTTTCAACGATTATTACTTGCCATCTACTCTAGCTATCAAACGGCAGCTTTTTATAATAGCTAGTGTAGGGCCTATGCACGTTGTGTCGACTGTCTGTAGTGTACGTTAGTATGGCTAAGTTACGTTGATTCACGTAAAACAAACAGCACAACAGACAAACACGCACACCTCTCTTCTCTCTCACGCCCACGCACACGCACCGCCAACGCCACGCACGCACGGACGCACACACACACACACACACACAGCACACAACACACACACACAGCACAGCACAGCACAATCACGCACAGCTCTCTCTCTCTCTCTCTCTCTCTCTCACACACACCACACACGCGGCGCGCGCACACACTATCTCTTGTTTTCTCTCGCGCTCTCTCTCTTTCTCTCTCATCTCTCTACTCTCTCTCCGCTCGGCGCGCTCTCTCTCTCTCTCTCTCTCTCTCCTCGCTCGCGCTCATTCTCTCTCCTCTCTCTCTCTCTCTGCTCTCTCTTCTCTTTCTCTTCTCCCTCCATCCCTCCCTCCCTCCCCACCCCCTCGATCTCTCTCTCTCTCTCTCTCTCTCTCTCTGTCACCATACACAAACACAAACACGTACAGACCCCCTTCTTCTCTCTCTCACACACACATCACACAACACGCACGCCCACACCTCTCTCTCTGCTCTCTCTCTAGACACATACACACTCCCTACGCAAAGGTTACCGT